CCCCCCCCCCAAGGGTGATTAAATACCCCCAAAAGAAAGCTCTATCTGTCCCCAAAAAATGGTATAAAATGTATTTCAGCACAGCGTTGCATGACGGAATAAATGTCAGTCAAAGTACCTCAGCGCTGAATACTGAAAAATGGCCGGGACAGGAAGGGGGTGTAACACTCCGGACTTCAAGGTTTTTTTAAAGCCGACGGCAAACGCAGAACATGAACGCGCGCTCGCGAATGTGACCCGCAGGTGTGAATGCGGGCTAAGGCTCCATTCACACAGAAGCGGTTGTCCGCGCGTATTGCCGCTCTAAACAGAAAAAAAAATGCACTTTAATGTGCATTGTTCAGACGTTTGCAGCGGCCGGTACGAAACCGCGCGGCCCGCAAAATAGTACAAGCGCGATTTTTTCACGGATTCCGCACGTTCGTGGCTGAACGAGGGGAATCTGTGCGGGTGAAAGATTTTAGCGTTTGCGTTGCCGCGCGGACTTCTGCACGGCAAACCGCGCAGGAAATGCAAGCGCTATATGTGAATGGAGCCTAAGAGAGGACAATGAAGGTGTTATGGATCATATAACATACATTTATATTCGTCTTAGTTCTACACCCCAAAAGCCTGGCCCTTTATATGTTGTTATAAATAGGTGTTTACTACGCTCTTAGCACAGCCGTCTGACGGCAGCAGCTGTTCCAAGAGCAAAGGTGGAGGCGCGGCCTGCCGAAGCACCCGAGACCGGGGTCTTTCCTGAGCGGAGGGTTGAGGGCCGCGTCAGAGCGGCGGCACAGCAAAAAGGGGAGGCCGGTGATGCGCAGGCCGGAACCCCGTACAGGGGTGAGGGAAGCTGTAGGGCGGCAAGCCGGGGTCCGGAGAGGGGGTTAGACGGAAGACTTACCAGCAGCGGAGGCCGGGCGGAAGAGAATAGAGGAAGAGGCGCCTTCCGGGGCGGAACGTCACCTCCTATGGAGGGAGAGAAGACGGAACATGGGGCAGGGTGAAGTGCTGAGGGCTGCATGGGGGGGTAGGGAGCAGAGCACAGATACGGATAGGTGAAGGGCCACACACTGAGGGAATAATGGCAGGGAGGACAGAGCTGGGGCTCCCACTTAAAAGCCTACCTCTAGCCAAAATGTATTGTTTTTGGATGGAGTAGGGGAACAGTTAAAATACTCGTTGGGGTTTTATGTTTGACACCCTCATTAGAGAGATTTTTTTCTCACTTCCTGTCTCTGTGACACCCATACAAAAAACAGGGGAAAGGGGGGTGTTTTCACTGGGACAGGAAGTCACAGAAAGCAATAAAAACAAAACAAAAGTCAGAAGTTCTAACACTTCCTCAGTTAAATGTGATTGTGACTGTGATCCCATTGGGGAGATTTGTCTTTACTTCCTGTACCTTTTGACATTAATCAAATTTCCCCCTTTTTGAGGAAACGCCCAGCCTTTCCTCCGAAAAAGTCCCTCTTGGTGTACATGCCATGGGTACGCCCTCTTGGCGTACTCATGGCAGCCGGCACAGCTTAGTTAGTCCCTATAGCGATGTGGTGGTCGCCATTTTGATTCTTGATACCTTCAAAGTATGCATACGTATCATGGTGCCTCATTCAAAATCTGTTTGTTTTCTCTTTACACCTTAAATGTCGGCCTCTTGTTCCAGTGGGAGGAATAGTCCTCCATCATTGGAGTCAGTGGGTGGAATAGTGCCCCGTCATTGGTGCCAGTGGGAGGAATAGTCCTCCATCATTGGTGTCAGTGGGAGGAATAGTCCTCCATCATTGGAGTCAGTGGGTGGAATAGTGCCCCGTCATTGGTGCCAGTGGGAGGAATAGTCCTCCATCATTGGTGTCAGTGGGAGGAATAGTCCTCCATCATTGGAGTCAGTGGGAGGAATAGTGCCCCATCATTGGTGTCAGTGGGGGGAATACTTCCCCATTATTGGTGTCAGTGGGGGAATAGTGCCCCATCATTGGTGTCAGTGGGGGGAATACTTCCCCATCATTGGTGTCAGTGGGGGGAATACTTCCCCATCATTGGTGTCAGTGGGGGGAATACTTCCCCATCATTGGTGTCAGTGGGGGGAATACTTCCCCATCATTGGTGTCAGTGGGGGGAATACTTCCCCATCATTGGTGTCAGTGGGGGGAATACTTCCCCATCATTGGTGTCAGTGGGGGGAATACTTCCCCATCATTGGTGTCAGTGGGGGGAATACTTCCCCATCATTGGTGTCAGTGGGGGGAATACTTCCCCATCATTGGTGTCAGTGGGGGGAATACTTCCCCATCATTGGTGTCAGTGGGGGGAATACTTCCCCATCATTGGTGTCAGTGGGGGGAATACTTCCCCATCATTGGTGTCAGTGGGGGGAATACTTCCCCATCATTGGTGTCAGTGGGGGGAATACTTCCCCATCATTGGTGTCAGTGGGGGGAATACTTCCCCATCATTGGTGTCAGTGGGGGGAATACTTCCCCATCATTGGTGTCAGTGGGGGGAATACTTCCCCATCATTGGTGTCAGTGGGGGGAATACTTCCCCATCATTGGTGTCAGTGGGAGGAATAGTGCCCCATCATTGGTGTCAGTGGGTGGAATAGTCCTCCATAATTGGTGTCAGTGGGAGGAATAGTCCTCCATCATTGGTGTCAGTGGGAGGAATAGTGCCCCATCATTGGTGTCAGTGGGTGGAATAGTGCCCCATCATTAGTGTCCGTGGGAGGAATAGTCCTCCATCATTGGTGTCAGTGGGAGGAATAGTCCTCCATCATTGGTGTCAGTGGGAGGAATAGTGCCCCATCATTGGTGTCAGTGGGAGGAATAGTCCTCCATCATTGGTGTCAGTGGGGGGAATAGTGTCCCATCATTGGTGTCAGTGGGAGGAATAGTCCCCCATCATTGGTGTCAGTGGGAGGAATAGTCCCCCATCATTGGTGTCAGTGGGAGGAATAGTCCCCCATCATTGGTGTCAGTGGGAGGAATAGTGCCCCGTCCTTGGTGTCAGTGGGAGGAATAGTGCCCCATCATTGGTGTCAGTGGTCCTGTCTGGGACTAAGGTCTCACCTTCATTCATACCTACCCTTGTGTGGGTGCTTCCCATGCATCCCGTTCCTTCATTCACATGATTTTGTGGGATCAAATCCTAAGGGCACTGGGGGGTCTCCAGAGGCACTTCACACCCTTGTGGGTTATAGTGTGCTGGCTAATGGGGTTTTCCTGGTAAGTCTCACCTTGCGACATTGATTGGCAGGTCAGTTCTTGTCCGTGAGATCCTTGATGGTCAGGGCTGCAAAGGCCTTGTAGACCTTTCCTTGTAGACCTTTACTTGTAGACCGGCTGGTCTTTCTCACCTGGACCTGTTTGATCCCAAGTCCCTACATGGGACCTGCTCTTTCTAGGGGGTTGCCCCCTTTATCTGTTGACCTCATCATTTTGTGGGTCTTCTATTTCCATTTCAGGAATTAATTATGATTTTCCCTCTTTTTAGGTGGGTTGTTGGTTGATCGCCTTCTCATAAGTTCAGTTTTGGTGCTTCTTGTCCGGAGTTATTCCCTCTGGTGGTGGCCTTCTTAGGTCTTGAGCATCAGTTTGTTGCGGTGTTCTTTTTTTTGGTTATACTGGCAGGAGCCCCTATGGGTCTCCACCACATTTAGTTCAGATTCGGGTCTTGATCCTTCCGGCAGTCCTAGGCTGCAGAGAGCTCCTATTTCTCTTCATTGGACCTGTTGGAGGTTGTTGCCGTGTTTTTTTTTTTTTGCCAGTTTCCAATCTTCCTGTAGGTGGCAGTATATCCCAACAGTGTCCCTCGAGGCACTCAAAGAAAAGGATTTTATGTATAGGAATACATAAAATCCTACACAGTTGTAATTAGGTTCTTTCACCGCTGGGGGGCAGCAGCTGGCTGGTGGCATCTGTGTGGAAGATCCAGAAAAAGTCTCTTCATCCAAATGATGATGAATATGGCATTGGGTTGACGGCTCCCTCTTGTAGTAATGACTCTGCATAACACCTTTATTTTGTTTCCTTTATTTGACACTCCCCATGCCTCCTCTATGTATTGCCAAAAGTATTGGGACGCCTTTACATGCACATGATCTTTAATGGCATCCCCCATACTCAGTGATGGCCGATGCACAGGGACAGACACTCCCTGCATCTCATTTTGTTACCCATTATTCTCGGAGTCTCAGTTCTGTGCAACCAACCACTTACTGTGCCATCTTCCATTTTTCATCTGACACTCTGTACCTGCTTCCTTCCCCCATCCCTGATGGCGTACTTCCTTGCTTCTCCTGTCCCTCACGCTATACATCCTTTCTTTCCCCGTCCCTGACACAATACCCCCTACCTTCTCCTGTCTGACACTTTTTTCCTTCTTCTTTCCCTCATCCCTGATGTCATACCTACCACCTGTCCCTGACACCAGAGCTCCTTCCTTCCCCGTGCCTCAAGTCGTACCTCCTTCCTTCCCCCGTGCCTCAAGTCGTACCTCCTTCCTTCCCCTGTGCCTCAAGCCGTACTTCCTTCCTTCCCCCGGGCCTCAAGCCGTACCTCCTTCCGTCCCCCGTGCCTCAAGTCGTACCTCCTTCCTTCCCCTGTGCCTCAAGCCGTACTTCCTTCCTTCCCCCGGGCCTCAAGCCGTACCTCCTTCCGTCCCCCGTGCCTCAAGTCGTACCTCCTTCCTTCCCCTGTGCCTCAAGCCGTACTTCCTTCCTTCCCCCGGGCCTCAAGCCGTACCTCCTTCCGTCCCCCGTGCCTCAAGTCGTACCTCCTTCCTTCCCCTGTGCCTCAAGCCGTACTTCCTTCCTTCCCCCGGGCCTCAAGCCGTACCTCCTTCCGTCCCCCGTGCCTCAAGTCGTACCTCCTTCCTTCCCCTGTGCCTCAAGCCGTACTTCCTTCCTTCCCCCGGGCCTCAAGCCGTACCTCCTTCCGTCCCCCGTGCCTCAAGTCGTACCTCCTTCCTTCCCCTGTGCCTCAAGCCGTACTTCCTTCCTTCCCCCGGGCCTCAAGCCGTACCTCCTTCCGTCCCCCGTGCCTCAAGTCGTACCTCCTTCCTTCCCCTGTGCCTCAAGCCGTACTTCCTTCCTTCCCCCGGGCCTCAAGCCGTACCTCCTTCCGTCCCCCGTGCCTCAAGTCGTACCTCCTTCCTTCCCCTGTGCCTCAAGCCGTACTTCCTTCCTTCCCCCGGGCCTCAAGCCGTACCTCCTTCCGTCCCCCGTGCCTCAAGTCGTACCTCCTTCCTTCCCCTGTGCCTCAAGCCGTACTTCCTTCCTTCCCCCGGGCCTCAAGCCGTACCTCCTTCCGTCCCCCGTGCCTCAAGTCGTACCTCCTTCCTTCCCCTGTGCCTCAAGCCGTACTTCCTTCCTTCCCCCGGGCCTCAAGCCGTACCTCCTTCCGTCCCCCGTGCCTCAAGTCGTACCTCCTTCCTTCCCCTGTGCCTCAAGCCGTACTTCCTTCCTTCCCCCGGGCCTCAAGCCGTACCTCCTTCCGTCCCCCGTGCCTCAAGTCGTACCTCCTTCCTTCCCCTGTGCCTCAAGCCGTACTTCCTTCCTTCCCCCGGGCCTCAAGCCGTACCTCCTTCCGTCCCCCGTGCCTCAAGTCGTACCTCCTTCCTTCCCCTGTGCCTCAAGCCGTACTTCCTTCCTTCCCCCGGGCCTCAAGCCGTACCTCCTTCCTTCCCTCTGTTCAGATACCATACCCTATTCCTGCCCCATCCTTGATGCCGTACCTTCTTCCTTTCCCCCATCCCTGATGCCATACCTTCTTCCATCCCCCTGTCCTTGATACCATACCACCTTCCGGACACCGTACCTCCTTGCTTTCCCCGTCTTTGTCCCAGATGCCATGTCTTCTTCCTTCCTCCTGTCCCTAATCTGAATCCCAAATCTGCCATTTAGATGGGGCCGCTGTCACCTGCTCAAGTTAATGACCGGGTGACAGCAGCGGCATCTGTAAGTGGCAGTCTGCATGTAATCATACAGTATGTGATACAATTACTATTCCAAACCGCATGTACTTGTATCACATGCGATTACATGCAGACTGCCGCTTACAGATGCCGCTGCTTTCACTCGGTCTTTAACCTGAACAGGCGAAACCTTGTTTTAATAATTTGGCATTTCATAATAATCCCCCCCAGGCTGCAAGAATAAGTTAAAGGTAGATTAGTATTGCTGCAGGGGGTAAGGTGATTACTATTACTGCCTGGGGGGGATTATTGCAACATGTTATGCGGAAAAGTTGACCAGGGGGGCCCCCGTCATGTACAGTATGGGGTCACATGATGTCTCTTGGTGGCCCTGCTCCTACCATCCACCCTTTCTAGAGACATACACTATGAAGGGAATTTATTAAAACTGGGAACAGACAAAATCTGAAGCAGCTGTGCATGGCAACCAATCAGCTTCCATCTTTAATTTGCAAATCTTAACTGAACAAACTAAAAAGAGAAGCCAATTGGTTGTCATAGCCAACTGCTCCAGATTTTGATAAATTCCCCTCAATAAGTACAATTCTAAAAGTATTGAGACAGCCCCTCCAAATCATTGGATTCAGGTGTTCCAATCACCTCCATGGCCACAGGTGTATAGGATGAGGCATCTAGTGCAGTGGTTCTCAACTCATGGGTTGCGACCCAAAAGTGGGTCGCGACACCTTCTGCAGTGGGTCGCGGCGTCCTTCCTGCAAAGAGCGGCCCATGTTCAGGAGGGAGACATAGAGGGGTGATTTGTGCGAGCCAGCCTGTGGGAACTATATATTGAAAACTGTTCCCTCTCATACTAGATGGGCGTGTCTGGGTTTGGCGGTTGCCAGGAGAAAACGGTACTTGCCTGATTGCATTGTTCCAAGTGTAAAGTTTGGTGGGGGGGGGTCGTTTCAGGGGTTGGGCTTGGCCTCTTAGTTCCAGTGAAGGGAACTCTTAAGGCATCAGCATACTAAAGACATAACTTTGTGGGGAACAGTTTGGGGATGGCCTCTTCCTGTTCCAACATGACTGCGCACCAGTGCACAAAGCAAGGTCCATAAAGACATGGCTGGGGGAGTTTGGGGGGGAGGAACGTGACTGGCCGCACAGAGTCCTGACCTCACCCGCATAGAACACCTTTGGGATGAATTAGAGCGGAGACTGCGAGCCCGGCCTTCTCCTCCAACATCAGTACCTGACCTCACAAATGGTCCAACATTCCCATAGACACACTCCTAAACCTTGTGGACGCCTTCCCAGAAGAGGCAGAGCTGTTATAGCGGCAAAGGGCGGAGCCAACCCAATACTGAACCCTATGGACTAAGACTGGGATGCCATTAAAGTTCATGTGCGTGGAAAGGTGTCCCAATACTTTTGGCGATATAGTGTATGTATACCCTCCTTCCTGAAGAGGGGCAAAACTGGCAGATAGGCTGTACGGGGCCCCATGATATCTAATCACGGCCCTGACCACCATTATAGGTGGAACCTTTCCCCTTTATACAACGAGCACAACTTCTTATCCTCAAGGCTGGGCTTGCAAATTTCATAATAGAATGCAGCAAATAGAAATGTATATACACCAGACATTCAAAACCAACATCTTTAATCATTGTGTTCCAAAAACATGTTGTGTACCAACATGGAGCCGGCTAAGCAGACACAGCTCCACACACACAGACAAGACAAGCGCTCACACACAGGAACTCCAGATCAGGAAACAGCACAGAGGTTGTTTTTTTTCTTTTTTTAAAAACAGCATCAACAACAGCAGCACTGCAGGGCACATAATTATTGCACTGAGACTCACACTGGTGTCACCGCAGAGGCAGCACCATGTGTGAGACCCATCAAGTGTTGATCAGCTAAAGGTAAGACTGAGCTGTTGATGGAGTGTAGGAGGTCAGATGTGAACAGGGAGGACGATTCAGATTAAACAGGTAATTGACATCTTTGGTGAAATTTAACGAAATTTTTTTTAAAAATCAGAAAGTGCAAAAAGGATCCCGAAGGAGGAGATGGTGCTCAGGTCTCAGATCTAGGCGATGAGGCCGCTGGTGGATATTTTATTGTAGAAGTCACAAAGTCTTCAGATGATGTCTCAGTCTGGAAAAAGAGACCTGAACTTGGACGGATGACAGAACTCGGAGAACTGACAGGCTCCTGGACGGAAGTGGACCGGGTCCTGGACAGAAGGCACATCTTGAAAGAGGAGTAGACCCAGAGTTGGATGGATATCATAGTAGGGCATTAGGTAGAAGTCGGACCTAGGAAAATAACAAGCTAGGCCTTGATTTCAGGTTGCATCAGAAGTGTGAACAGATGGTGTCCTCCTGATTGTACAGACCAGAGTGGAGTTCATACAAGTGTCTATCCTTCATAACATTCCCACTATCCTGCTGGTCATCAGAAACATGATTGGTTGGGAATTAGAGGGTTCAGGAAAGGCACATGGCTCAGAAATCGCTTCTCCACCAAGGTCCGAAGTGCGAGTTGCAGGGGTGCTGTGAGGCAATCACTGACTCTTCTCATGGTTCAGGATGTAGTAATCATGTACATACATAAGAACTGCTATCGGCTGCCCAATAATCAAGGAAATCCATACAGCCGCATTCCCATAATTGCCCCTGAGAAACCGTCCCACAAACCAGGCCAGAGGAATCTGCAGGAAGCAAAAAAAACAACATTGATGTCACAACTCCGAGGAGCAGAAAAATACTAATAAAAAGCATCGAAACCTGTGACATCACAACCACCAAGGAGAAACCCCACTAAGAACTTTACATTTCTGTGCCAACACAATCCCCAGAGAAGAAAACCCACCAATAGGAATGATATAAACCTGTGACATTACAGCTTTGGAGGAGAAAACCCATCAATAAGGCTAGGTTCGCACCTGCACTTCACCGCACGACACCCCGGGACGCGCGTCCCCGGTGTCGTGCGGTCCTGCACAATTGATTTGGCCCCAATGATTTCAATGGGGTGACATCCACGCGGCAATCGCAGAAAAAGGTACAAGTAACTTTTTTGTGCGATACACGACTCACGGCTGTTTTAGCTGTGATCGTGTTCGGAAGCATGGGCGGAATTGCAGCGGGAAACCGCACGGTCCGCCCAGTGTGCCATTAGAAGAAAATGGCACCCACATCGCGATCGGTTCACCCATTGGCGACTCCTGACCCTGCGGCATTTCATGCGGTGAGGTGTCGCAAAACTGACATTACAACCCCAAGATGGTAAAAACCCACCAATAAGAATCGTACAAACCTGTGATATCATAGCCCCCCCCCCCCAAGAGGAGAAAAACAAACCAATAAGAATCATACAAACCTGTGACATCATCCCCATGAAGGCCCAGAGTCTGAACATCTTCAGAGGAATGCTGACCAAATACTGCAGAGAGAAGACACAATAGTCAGCCTTGCAAAAGTAGTCCTCTCAATGTCTACAACTGCCCTGACCAAGAAATGCTCAATTCCTCCACAGCATCGCAGAGGTGCAGTAAGCTATGCGTACAAAGAATGATCTCTGGTCAGTTTTAAGCAATGCCCTTCATATCGGTCCTCCTGCTCCCGTTGCGTCTGATTAGAAAAGGGGCTTCGTTGATTTATGTACTTTGGATACAAGACCCCAACACCAGACTTTGGGCCCACGGACATAAAACAGAATGCTCTGTCCAAGTCACAGGTGACAAACTGCTTACTGTGTCACGGCACCAACCACCACTATACAGGCAGGACTCTAATGACTGGTCAGAGATAAGCCAATGCCAATACGGTCAAGCCAATGCTGCATTCCACTGCCTCTGGAGTGAACAGACAATGTCCAGTTTTAAAGAAGAAATTGTTTTAAATGGTTTTACAGGTTCACTTTAAGATATAGATTGTCAAAATTCTTCCTGCAGGGCCCCCCTGATATTCCATTTACCGCTAGCAGCTGGACATTTCACATAATCACACTGCAATCTGGTGAACCTATACCGGTCTGGGGAACCTCAACATTGGCCACACAAGGGAATTTCAATTTTCAACCACAGACATCGCTTGGATTCATTTGACTACATTACAAAAATTGGGTTGAAAATTTTTGGACTAATCCATTTTTGTACAGTTTGAAAATCCCCACAATGCATCTCTTCTGGTAGGTTCCACGACTCCTACTATAGGTCAAGACTCACCTCATGGAAGAAAGCTGAGGCGAAGAAGACGGCGGTCTGAGCAGCCCACCTGGAGAGCCCACGTTTCATCATGGGCTTGTAGAAATGTCTTGGACAAAAAAAAAAGGTCATTACGCCAGAGTTTGTTACACTCTTGGTACAATTATCAACCCAACGAGCTCAAATCCCACCAATAAACCTAAGGTAGAAACGTTCAGTTCCTCTCCTTCAACTGCCCCCCAGAGGCCCCTCTTACCTGATGCACCATTTGTGTACTGGGATGTTCCAATTCTGCCAGAAGTAGGTCACTGTCTCCGAGTTCCTGGGAAGGAAGGAGACGCATAGAATGAGGATGCGGTGAACTATTACCAAACAATGTCAAAGCAAGTGAAAGCAGCCGAACCTTGTTCCTTCCCCCCGACTCACCACCAATCCCTGTAGAATTCCCGATCTCCAAAACGCATCAACTCCGCCACAAAGTTCATGGAAGAGTGGAAGAACCAGTAGAAGAAGATGAGCCAGATGAGGTGGTTGGGGACCTAAAAGAAATTCATAAGAATTAATTCCGGGATTAGGAGGAAGCACAAACGTTTACACATGTATGGAGAAGAACAGCTTACCGCCAATTTCAGGAGACGCTCAATCATCCGCGAGTAATCCATATCCTTACAGACAGAGATTAGATCCGATCACATGAAAAAATGAAGGAAAGAGACCAGAAAACAGCAGAGATGAGAAAGTCGGCCCACAGAACATTGCAAATCACTTCCATCTAGATTTGGGAACATAGATTACGGAAGATTGCTGATCATTCACTAACACTATGAATTCGGATTGATGAGAGATCCATCATGAACATGGAGATCGGCCTGCTCATGTCTCTAGGTCTTGTTCCTGCTCGGCCAATCATTCACTGCACATATTGCTTTGTATAGGTTCTGTTCCAAATGGCGCATGACCAGCATGTTGTGTTTTGGTATATTATCCTTTGTTTCCCATCATAGACAACAGAAATAACCTTCCAATGCCCAACAACACAAACTACATAAAACAGATCCTAAATACCCCCTCTCGGGTCCGATAAGAACTTAGTTGACTCATCATTGGGTAACCATTGTTATTCTTTCACATAGGAATCAAATTTTGGCTATAAAGCTTCAGTATGATGTCACAATTTGCCTTTCTAGAAACATTTTATTAGACTTATCTGCCAGATAAACACACTGGCCCTTATTTACTAAACACTCACCCGGAATGGCTTCATGGAGTTCTGAATTGTTGGGACCATCCACTAAAAAAAGCAAGATGGATACCAAGATTATTTTGAGCATAAATCTTTAATGAGTGCCATCATCCTGTTAACCAACCCTTCCTCACTGAGGGACAGAAGATCTCTGGGACCATCCAAGCTTTAGACTGATCAGTGAGGAGTTTTCACACAGAAGAACTGCAAAACAATTCCCATAAATCCCTGCGACACTTCATCATATCTTTTGATATTCAAGCATCATCTCTACATCCATCCCAATATTTCCCCATTATCATCTTCTGCTTCAGGATTCTAAATGTCTCCTCCAATGTTGAATCTAGACCTCTGAGCTTCCTAAGAAGCTCCACCCCCCAGGGGAGCCTGTAAAGGCCTTCCCTCCCATTGAAATATCTCACCTGTTGGATTAGGCCAACCAAGAGCTGCATGATGAACAACTGAGGAAAAGAGAGAAAGGAGGACCATCAGACACTTTTACTGTTTAAAGCTAGTCTGGCTGTGTGTGCGTTGAGGGGTTAATGAAAAGTCAAACATTGGCAAAGAAAAATGAGGGGCCAGAGAGCCTTGTAGAGAAAAGATTTGGGCAGTGTCAGTTTACAACAGACAGGGCAGTGATGGTGTACAATAAAGAGGAAGAACAAGAACGGTGTACAACAGAGGGGAAGAGAAGGGCAACGGCGGTGTACAATAAAGAGGAGAAGGCCGGTGACAGTGTACAATAGAGGGCTAGGGCAGTGGTGGTGTACATTAGAGGAGAAGGGCAGAGTACAATAGGGCAGGAGGACAGTGGTGGTGTACAAAAGGAGAAAAGTGGAGTGGCGGTGTACAGTAGAAGGGCAGTGGTGGTGTACAATAGAGTCGAAGGGCAGTGAACAATAGAGTAAATGGGGAAGTGGCAGTGTACAATAGAGTAGAAGGGCCATGGCGGTGTACAATAGAGTAGAAGGGCCGTGGCGGTGTACAATAGAGTAGAAGGGCTGTGGCGGTGTACAATAGGGGGAAGGGCAGTGGCGGTGTACAATAGAGTAGAAGGGCAGCGGCGGTGTACAATAGAGTAAATGGGGAAGTGGCGGTGTACAGTAGAGTAGAAGGGCAGTGGCGGTGTACAATAGAGTAGAAGGGAAGTGGCGGTGTACAATAGAGTAAATGGGGAAGTGGCAGTGTACAATAGAGTAGAAGGGCCGTGGCAGTGTACAATAGAGTAGAAGGGCCGTGGAGGTGTACAATAGAGTAGAAGGGCCGTGGCGGTGTACAATAGAGTAGAAGGGCCGTAGCGGTGTACAATAGAGTAAATGGGGAAGTGGTGGTGTACAATAAAGTAGAAGGGCCGTGGCGGTGTACAATAGGGGGAAGGGCAGTGGCGCTGTACAATAGGGGGGAAAGGCAGTGGAGGTGTACAGGCCTATTTTCCCTGTAGAATCGTGCATCACACTCTTCTCACCATCTCCAAAAGCCTCCGTAGAAGGAACCTCTTACGAATCCTCGGAGATCGGGGGAAGTTAATTTCATAGCAGAGAGTCGGAGCACAGACAAAATAATACATATCTGAGGGGCAGAAAGAAAAAGAAGTGGATGAAACAAGTCCAATCATGTGGCATGATGTCTGCACACATATCACACGTGTACCACTCACCTCTGTGTGTCAGATTGCCAGGGTACGACACCTCCTTCTGTCCTGCCTCTCCATTTGCTTTTCTCATTAAAGGAGCTGAGACACAGAGATGATGTTAGAATAAGAATAAACGGTACAGAACACATACGTGACCTGCAGACACCGACACTCACTAAAAACCTCCAGTAGGTGGCCTGCAGACACGGATAATCACAATAGACATACATGACCTGCAGACACTGACATGAACTGAAGACATACCTGACCTGCAGACACAGACACTCACTGAAAGCATACGTTGCTAGAAGATGACACTCACTGAACACATAAATAACCTGCAGACCCCCACACTCACCGGACTGAGAGCGCCCCAGTGCTCTGGTCCGTGTCAGCCTTCTCTCCCGGCACCAGAGGTTGACGTCTTTGTAAGAATATATCTTGAGGAAGAGAATGGTATAGATGGACAACGCAAAGACAGCCCCCACTGCAAATAGAAAGATTGTTGTGTGTGAGGGGGTCTGTAACCGATCCGGTGACTGGGCAAAGGGTGAGCGCCGATATCTACCTGGAGTCATGGAGGCAATTGTGAACACAACCAGTACCGGGAAACAGAGGATACCAGTGAGGATGATGGTGTACAGGAAAACACCCATTCCCTCTGAAAATCGACCCTGAGAAAAAACAAAACAAGAGAGGTTCAGAGAGGATCCTGCATTTCCCCTTCACTCTCACTGACTACCTCGAACTCTCAGATTATCACCTGTCAGGAGACCCCAACTATCAGCTCACCAAGCACCAGGAGATCCCCAACTATCAGCTCACCAACCACCAGGAGACCCCAACTATCAGCTCACCAAGCACTAGGAGACCCCAAACTATGAGATCACTAACTGGCCCAAAACCCCCAACTATCAGTTTGCCAACCGCCAGGAGACCCAAGCTTTTAGCTCTATTCCAGTAAAGATGCATCACCTCCTAACCAGGCCTGGTAACAGGCCACTCCCCTCTGAGATAGCAGGAGAAGGAGGCAAGGCTTTCCCAGGAACCATGTAGTTAGTCCATCTAAAAATTATCTTTTCTTGCTGACTTTTCGCTTGAGCCTTGAGTATTGTTCCCATTGGTAGTCTCTGTCTCCAGGCCAATGAAATGGCTGAAGATTCCTAGACGGAGTATGGTTGAAGCCCCTCACGATAGGTACAGCAGATGGTTTAACACCCCAGCATCTACCAAACACAGGTAGAGCACCCATGAACCTGTCCACCAGTGGATGCGATGCTCCCCTCAATGTGAACTTACAGATGCCAGTCGCCTCTCCAGGTGCAGAGACCCCAAAACGAAGACATTAGAAGCTGAAAGAGGAAAAAAAGACAATTATAGCCGATACAGAAGTGATATGGCTGCTCCACCCTGTGTAATGGAAAGACAGATCATTTGGTTGGTACACCACAGGAAGTCATACATGTTCTGAGGACATATGGTCCCATTACAAGCACAATCCCAACCACCGGCAGTGCAGTAATGTTCTGCTTGGTGGTGGGGTGCTTAGAGGAGGCAAAAAGAGCCATGCAGTGTCATCGCCAACAGAGGCTGTAGTGCACGATCATGTAACACGGCACAGCGAGGTGAATGTGTATGTTAAGTTCTATAAAACTCACTCTTACTGCCGTCAGCTATGGGCTGTGTCCACTAGAACTGTACCCCCCACTATGACCCTTGTGTATGAGGCAAGGTAAACCTTGTGGTATCAAAATACCGGCCAATCAGCATTACAGTGCATTCTTTTTGGCCTGCCCTGTCTGCAGGGATCTGATGGGCCATTATGATACATCATTCCTCTTATTATAAAATCCCCTCCGGCTTCGTATGGACTCACCCAACACCAGGCACAGCGAGGGCCAGCTATAAGGGTGCTTCAGGAAGAGGGAAACCACTTGGATGGGATCCACCAGTATGCCGTATCTGGGAGCCAAGAGACACAACATGGTATGAGAATCGGTTTCCTATAATCCTCTGCAACAGTGGCAAGTGCCAACCAATGGTGTTCATTGAGAATGGGCAACAATACAATCTGCAGACAGGTTCTCCTAACCCCACCCTGCAGCACATGCTCACTGCTTCTCTCTCTCTCTCTTCAGCTGTACGTATGCTTGGAGGCCCTCCAATTGGAGCTTACACAGGGCTATGGGCTCTCCCCATGTGACAGCTCTGGTACTTTGTGATTTGCCCAGCCTTGTCACATGGGAGGAACCCAAATGTTCCCCCTTACTAGTGTTTTCCACACTCCTGGTGGCTAAATGAGTCAGCTGGGGGAATGCAGGAAAGGGAGGTACGTGCCGTGGGGGATGGGGCTAACCTACAGGTTTCCTTTAACGCAGGGATGTCCAAACTGCGGCCCTCCAGCTGTGGTGAAACTACGAATCCCATGAGGCTTTGCAAGATTCTCACAGCCACAGACATGACTCCCGGAGAGAGATGCTTCATGGGATTTGTAGTTTCACCACAGCTGGAGGGCCGGAGTTTGGACATCCCTGCTTTAACACAATCCCATCAGCCACTTTACACATCCCAAGATTCCTGTTATTAGCCAGGAAAGCCACTGTGTGCCCCTCTGATTTAGTTTCCCTGTTACTAGGGCTTGACTTCAGAGCCAAGCCCTTCCATCCCTTGTGAAATGAGAGTGCCCTTACTGCCCAATGAGGCTGTCTGGCTGGATACCCCTCAGACTGACTGAGGGGTGCCAGTGGTAGTTTAGCCCTAAAATCAGTTCCAAGTAACAAAGTGAAACTAGTTTCAGAGGGGCACACAAAGGAGGGTTTTTTATTGCTAATGGAGTCCCCAGCAGGCATCTTGTGGTGTGGTTTAAACATTTTAATTGAGATTTAAAGGGAACTTGTCATGACAGATATATGGGAGGATGCTATGCTGAAAATGCCAGGTGCCTGGCCGTCATGCTGTTGTTTTGTCTTCATTACCGATTCACTGACCCAGAAGCAGTATAGCTCTAAGGAATTCTGACATTTCCTTGTTGCAGGTCTGGGTCCTAGAAGTACTGAAGCCAGACCCAGGTAGGAAACTAGCTATTGTATAATTTCCCTTATGACAGGTACACTTGAAGGAGACATG